GCAGATTGCCTTCATAAATTCAATATCAAATCAATTTTTGCCCTCGAAACCAGGTCAGTAATTTTCAATACTAAAAGTTATATTTCTTTTTTAACTTTAAACAGCTATTTTTTTAACGCCATGCACTTTTACAATTTTATTCGAAAGAGCGGTGAGTTTAACTTCCAAGAACAACACACTTATGCGAAAGTAATACCTCATTTATTCCTGAATTGAATTTTCGTATAAGATTTAGCGTCGTGTGGCAAAATTGTCCGTTTTTTACCGTAATTTCGTAATTTTACACTAATTTTAATACCATTCTGGCTTCTTAGCAAAACTTAGTTCCTTCACTCGCCTTTAACATACACGAGTTCCCTGACTCTTAGCATTTTCCCTCAAGACGAGCGGCTTTGGGATCCTTCCTTCGGGTACTTATTAGTTCGAGAGGCAATTATTAGCGACCTCTTGTTCATTTTTCACGGATGTTGTTCCCAAAAATGAAATTCAGCCGCTGATAAGCGCTGATCTGTACATTAAGATGTGCTGCACATTTTACAAGGAAAGCTTACTGATAAATAATTGAAACGCAACACGTTGTGTATTCCCAAAGCTTTGAGCTGAAGAATAACGGGTGCGAGACTTACTCGCTGCATCTCCGGCACCGTATTCACAAGCAACTTATCGTACTCTTTTTCTGAAAAAATACTTTACGAAAATCAGCAGCTGCAAGCCTGAAAAGTTTTAAAAATAAACTGAGAAAATTACCACTGAAATTGATTAATAAACATATTAACGTGTGAAATGATTCACATACGAGTGTAAAGACGATAGCATTTCCCAGGACGAATTCGGCCTGCTCTTCCAGCACGTTGTTGCGCCGATGCTTGAGAAATAGGTAATTTCATGAGGCTTTCGAAACCATTTTCACGATTCATCGCACGCAATTTCACAAAACCGCAATCAATCACTAAAAAAAATCACAAGTGCAAAAAACGTATGTTGAACTAAAGAGATCTGTAAGACTTGTGTCGAAACTAATTAAATATTAAGATTGCCACCACCACCCTTGACACCAAGTACAGTTATTCAAAACTGAAGAATAATCTTAGATTTATCAAGTTTTCGTAACTTTTATCAGCATAACTTCTCATTCGCTTGCAAATGTTAAAAATATTTGCCAGCCCACTCAAAACAGATATTAAGCATACAAACCATAGGCAATGCCGGGTATAGTGAGCGAAGTTTCTGCAATATTTGTGGCAACGACAATTTTCCTGGTACCATGCGTAGTTGAGTCGAACGCTTTCAGCTAAAAAAGCACATGATTAGAAGTGGCGAAAAAAAGTCAGTGTCAGTATAGAAACAAATATTAAATCTCCCATAAAAAGCTACGAAGGAAATTTATATTTCCTAAATGATCTGCTGAATTTAAAAAAAAAATCGCCTTCGAATTTCACTGTGACAGTCCCAAACACTTAGCAACTTTGCCAACACAATTATTTTACATAGCTTACTCCAACAGAAAAACATGGTTTACGCGAAATTCTCGTTAATTTTCGTGGTGCCTATGACGTAATAACGAATGGTGCTGCTCTCATGCTGAGCACCAAAAGTTCAATTTTGCAGTTAGAAAAATTCATTCCTTCCAGATTCGTTTATTCGCCTCAGTGGTACGTTAGTACTTGCACATGCTACGGGTTAAATGGGTTCAACAATCACTAAAAGCTTTGCCAGCGAGTGGTCGCTGTTGGCAAGTACTCGACCGATTTCTGAGTGCTTTCGCCTTTACAGACAGCGAATAGTCATACACAAAATTTTCACCATTTTGAACAGATAATTATATGGCAATCAACTAATAATAAAAAAAAACGCATAATTTTAGACCAGCAATGAAGCAGTAGCACACCATACCTGCTCGGATGCCGGCAGCGCACCATACATAGGCACAACCCAAAGTCTGTCCAGGTTTTTCCTTCTCATATCCTTAGCTGCTTCAATAAGACGCTTGCTAGCAGATTCCACCTGCAACATTCCCAATTCTACAAATGTGAAAAAAAAAATTCACGCAATTACAAATGCTGTGAGCAATAACTCACCTCGTCTTGTCCTGTAAGGAATATCAATATATCACCAGGCGGCTCGTTTTTGTGGATTTCCAAAGCGGTATCGATAGATTTCTGTACATAATCCGGCACTGGGCTATAAATAAACTGGTTTTAGGTCATAATGAGACTTTTTCCCAATTTCCTGACGAAAACATTTTCCGAGCAAGAGGCCGATTTTACGGCTCCTTGAATAAACAAAATCATTTTAAAACAGAAGCAGAAATGCAAGCGTAGTATCAAGAATGGACAAATTACCATCTACAGACATTAATGAAATAGCGGCAGTCGCTTGGCTAAAAAAAATCATTTTAAAACATAAGCAAAATGCAAGGGTAGTATCAAGAATGGATAAATTATCATCTAAGCGGGTAATCAAAGAGATGCATTAAAACCTACTTTTTTGTGTAGTAAACGGTGACGGGATGTGTACGGCCATCCACTGAGAT